GTAATTCAATGTATTTTTACTTATGCAGAATTCGATTAGCGCATTAACTTGTTTCTCATCATCAATTCTGTCAATTAGCAACTTTTTTTAAAGGCGCATAACAGTTACTGAGCAAAATATCGATATATAACTCAAAACGAGAACATCTTATGTAGGATAATGTAATGTTAAATTGCAATATTTCTGCAAACTGTAAAGCTTGATCTCCTTCTAATGTGGTGCGGTACACTGTTCACACCATAAAGCGAGAAATTGGAGTTTTTGTAAATTGCCAATAAAATCTAGAGTTGTGAGGAAAACTCGATATTAAAATTTTCGAGTTTGGGCAGAATGACTTAAGCGTTTCTAGTAATAACGATTGCTCTGAAATCTTTTTTAAAATTGATACAAGTTTTAGTCGTTGTAGTAATGTGCCAATCTTTTCTAAAATTAATACTATTTTCGAAGCATCCATCTGGCTATCAATTATCTCTAAAATGCTGATATTATAATCAAACGATGTTAACAGTTTCACGTAACTGCAACGCATGATACAAAAAATTTCTAAATTTTTACAATTCATTAATATCTCAAGCTCTTCATTACAAACACAACTATCTATTATAAGTTCCTGTAATGATTGTTTTTGACTCTCTAAAGCCGGAATGATGCCGTGGAATTTTTTAGGATATTCACCACCACCGATTAAGGTGAATTTCATAAGTTGTTCTTGAAAGTTAATAATGCATACAAGTACACGATATATTTGTGGATCATAATGAGCGTAAAATTCGTCAAATTTCAAAATACTAATTTTTGTAAAGTTTCTGGCCAAGATTTTTAATAATGTAATAGCAACATCTTTAGCAAAGTCGCTGACGCGTGATATATCCAAAGATAATCTTGAAGTTGAGAGAAAAATTGCACATTTTGTCCTAATGAGTAAAAAATCACTGGTTTGATTTTAGTACATTCGGAACTTTCAAATGTAATTTGAGCAAAGAGGCGCCATTCTCAATAAATAATTTAAATAAATTAGTTATGTGATATTTCAATGGGTCGTCAGATGATATCCAACCAACATACTGGAGTTCGAGCCAATTTTTTAGTCATCCCTTCCAGATGAAATAAATTAAGAACCTTAAGAAATCTTGCATAATTAAATTGTGTTTTGAAAAATTCTAGATTGATCCCATAGTTTTTTAAAATAAATTTTTCGTCATCATTAAGAGATGGCAAATATTTAGCAATAAATGAGGGCTTTCGATCAAATGAAATGGATCTTGCCAAAGAATAGGAATTGATATTTTGCACCATTGTTGACTCACAAGTGCGCATGAGTATAAGGAATAAAATTCTTTCTCTAAATTATTAAGAATCATTTCCATTAATTCGGGCATACTGCCCATGAATATTTTTGATGCCATGCGTTATATTAATGGAGAACTAAAATGCAATTTTAAGGAATTACGGTGTTTATAAATAACGATAGAGGGTTTCTCATCGTGATACAAACAAGAAAAGGAAATTTTATAACGTACGTACGTATTTCAACAGATCGCTAATAACTCAAAATCTTGCCTAAAAAACCGCTTTTTATGGCCTAATTGTAACTCTAAAGTCAATTTACGACAAATAGAATGTTTATAATTTCACATTATTTGTACTATGATTATTGATCGTCCTAGTGATTGTCGTCACGCCGTAACTATAGTGAGTAACAGGTAGGGTTGTTAAATTACCGTAATTTTACGTAATTTTGCGTAATTTTGTGTAGGTTTTTGTAAAACGGTTACCATTTTATTAGTAAAAAGGTTTGAAACTCGCAAAATTACACAAAATTACATGAAAATGTAAAATTGTAATTTATGTAACACAACCCTAGTAACAGGTAATATAATAAGTTACGGCATTATAGCTGTAACTTTCTATATTACTTACTATAGTAACGGCAAGTTACGGCAATGTGACGACTATCATTGGGACGATTCTACTGCATTAATAACTATGAAAATAAATTCACTTTGTTCCTGGATCATAAGGAAAAGCATTAGCAAGAATTGAAATCGTTTTAACTTCTTAAAATTGTTCCATATATCTGGGCCAAGTTATGGCCGAACTAAACTGTTAACGTGGTTAGATACATATGGCGCATTTTCATTAGTGTGATATGGGCGCTTTTCAATAGAAAAGGGGGAGAAAGTTTATAGTAACTTTTTTTAAATTTTAAATTAAAATATCTCAATAACTACTAAATTAAATTTAATAAAATTTTTTTTTTAAATTTTATAATTTTATAGAATTAAAATAAAAAATATTTATTAAATTTAGTTTAATAGTTGTTGAGATATTTTAACTGAAAGTTTGAAAAGTTTTTACTTAGAAGAAATCTCCCCCTTTCTATTGAAAAGCACCCATATTTTTGAATTGCACATCAATTTTGTGATTATTTTGAATTTAAACCAATCAGGGTCTTATTTTTGGATTTGCAGGCAGGTTTTTTAATATTTGTGAATTATTACTTTTATAATATACATCGATTTTGTCACATTTCAATGTGTCAAATCCGCCCATGAGTTAAATGATTAGAAAAATTTAGGCAGTTCTAATCTCTACACTCCCCTTGATTCAGGTAAGATGATCGTGTTTCACATAAAGTACGCTTTCTTAAGTACGCATATAAGTACATATATAAGTACGTACGTATTTTTTATCTTTTTATAGTTGCTAATATTACGTTCTTTTTTAGGTTGAAATTCACACACGAAAATAGATATTTGGATTATGCTATTTTTATAAGTGCTAGTTCTTCATATCTTGGCGTTCTTTATTGGCTAGTACTAATATTCTTTTCCTTTTTGTAAGCTTAAACATTCGTTGAACGAGAATCAGAAGAATCGCGATTATTTTCTTTTACTTTTTTGCAAAGTTACTATTAATATTTTCTTTTCGCAGGTTTACCTTAGCTTGAGGGCTTTGAATAGGAACATAGGTATGTGCTTTAGTTTTCTTTCTATTGAGTTAGCATTAAAACAAAAATGAAGCTTCAGGTGAAGATTTCGACATTTTCTTTCTTCACCTTGTATAGGTCACTGGTTGGAACTGAAAATTGACGGTAAACTTGGAATTGAGGTTAGATGCAACGTAATAGATAATGTTTTTTTGCACTTAGCTTTTACTAGCGTTACTAATTTCCTTTTTTAATATATAGAACGATGAATTTTGGGTATTACTAACATTGATATATATATTTATATTTTCTCTCATTATTCGCTTGTATTTCTTGAGCTTTCTTGAATTATTTTTATTTTTAGGCCTTTATGAGGGTGACGCAATATAAAATTTATATGATCGAAGTTTGGCTTCCCTTGATGCTACTTATGTAGTTGTCACTGGTATAATAAACCGCTAAGGGAGTGGGTGGGTTGGTTAATCGGTCAAGTTCTTTGATTACGTAATTCAGTAATCAGATTAATAGATTAGCGGTACAACTATCCGAAGTAACATAGTTTAAGTATTTTAGTGTTTTAATATTTTAGTGTTTTAGTGTTATAGACAGTAAAAACTATTTTATAAAAGAAAATTATTACCAAATTTAACAACAAATTTTTTGATTTTGTGTTTTAGTGATTTAGCATTTTAGTATTTTAGTAATTTAGCATCTTAGTGTTTTAGTAATTTAGTGTTTTAGTGTTTTAGTGTTTTAGTGATTTAGCGTTTTAGTATATTAGCATTTTAGTATTTAGCATTTTAGTATTTTTAGTGTTTTAGTGTTTTAATGTTTTAGTGTTTTAATATTTTTGTGTTTTAATGTTTTAATGTTTTAGTGTTTTAGTGTTTTAATGTTCTAGTGTTTTAGGAAATTTGACCCAAATATAGTAGTTATGATAGGCTGATAATGGGTGTATCATGCATAATTATGCATTTTTGTTCCGATAATGTGTCTAAGCCAAATAATTGAATTAGCTAGAATTCCCAGAAGTTTGGGTGATGATCTAGATCTAATTGATAGGTGATAATTCGAAAGTGCACAGCAGCCACCAATAATCAAAATTTGATTTTGACTAACCAAGAAACTAGACTTCTATTTGAAAACTATTTTCAAATCAAAAATTAGATAACTTTGCTTATTCATATTAGTGATGAAATAAAATATACATTGTAGCTGCTATAACAATTTTATAGATCATCATCTGAACTTCCAAAGCAATTCTAGCTGATTCGAACATTTGGCTTAGATACATTATTAGAACAAAATGCATTAATGATTATGCATGATGCACCCATTATTAGCCTATCATAACTACTATATTTGGGACAAATTTCCTAAAACACTAAAACACTAAAACATTAAAACACTAAACTACTAAAACATTAAAATACTAAAACATTAAAACACTAAAACACTAAAACGCTAAAATGCTAAATCACTAAAACACTAAAACGCTAAATCACTAAAACACAGAATCAAAAAATTTGTTGCTAAATTTGGTAATAATTTCTTTTTATAGAAATAATTTTTAATGTCTATAATGCTAAAACACTAAAGTATTAAAACACTAAAACACAAACTATGTCACTTTGGGTACCTATGATACACCGTACAATTATTTTTCTCAAGCGTTATTCTTGATGTAATTAGTAAGTAAACGTGACAATGTTCATTTATTATAATCAATAAAAATAAAAATTGTAATTGATACTTGAGCAATTCATCAATATTTTTTATTTATCAAATATAATTGCTACTAGGTTTAGGTGTTGTACTATTAAGAAATTAGCTGCGAAAGAAATGAACTAAAAATTAAATTTGCGGTATTATATCATTTGTTAAACTTATATTGACTACATCAGATTCTAAGAAGCTTTTCATCAAATTTGGAGGCCTTTAAATCATACAAAGAATTCTTCAGATGAAGTGCCTAAAATTATAATAATACGGTTCATATATTTAAATATTTTTAATTGTTTATTATATGCAACATAAAAATTTAATAGATAATGATTATACCTGATATTTCTTATATATCATTATTGTTGTTAGTATCTGCAAAACTTGTGATAATTTCATCCGATTCTATGCTGATTACAAGCTCTTCATCCTTTGACAAGGTGTTTATTTGATCTGATTCTAAAGTGACTACATGCCCTTCATCTTTTGATAAAATGTTTATTTCATCTAATTCTAAGACGATTATAAATTCATCATCTATTGATAAAGTGTTTATTTCATCTGATTCTAAGGCGATTATAAGCTCTTCATCTTTTGATAAAGTGTTTAAAAATTATAATATAATAATACGTAATCTATATATAATTTTGAATTATTCATACAACAATGATATTATAGATAATGAACATACCTGTATTTTCTTGTGCGTTGTTGTTATTGCTTGTATCAATGGAACATGTGTTAACTTCATTGGATTTGTCAATTTTACTGGACTCTAAGGATCGTATGACTGAAGTGTCTAAATTATAATATAATAACAAATTTTAAATATTTCCGATGCGATTTATTCAATAACAATTGTAGATAATGAATGTACCTGATATTTTTTGTGTAGCA